TGAATCCCACCACTGGGCAAAACTCAGAACAACAGAAATTTTAAGCTTAATAGTGGTTGTAAGTTGAGGACTACCTGTAAAAACAGAACCCTCTTGATTTTGATGTGTTAGGTTGATATATATGAAATTTTAGACATTGAACAGTTCAAGTGGTATTAATGGTATGGAACTTCAGACACCCCCCAGATCACCAAAGTGCCAGAATCTTTATATTATTATCTCTGGGACAAAATAAAGACCAGGTTTACTATTACACAGTAATCAATCAAGGAAAGAGGAGGAAACTAGAAAGAAGCTTGTGACAAGAATTTTAAGAGGGGTTGCTTAAAGATACTAGACTACTATCTCTGGATATTTTCTTTTCTACAGATGGATCTCTATGTGGAGATGTAACAACACATATGGATCATTTACTCAGAGCAGAACTTTCTCAATGTACATTTGAGACAGATTTGCTTTTTACTACTTGGCATTCAATACTGAGCTCCTTTAACAGCTGTTATGATTTTTGATGCCATTTAGATTTTTCAAGCAAAACTTATTCCAAAATGATAGATCTCCCACAGCTGGTGATATCAGTTATATTACCATGTAAATAAGGAAAAACACAGCTAATTCAGAAATAGAGACTTTGAACTTTCCTTCTTAATACCTGGATTTAATTATGGGGCATGAAAATAAAACTAATTGCTTTGGTTGTTTGTTCCTTAAAAAAAACAGTGTCAAATATGGGAGGGGAACAAAAATAGGGGAACAATAAAAATAAAAAAGTCAGTTTTGTCTAGTGGTTAAGAGAACAGGACAGAAACTAGGAGGCCATGAGTTTCAGTCCCACTGTAGCCATGATAGCCAACTGCACGTCTTCCTGCCAGTCAATCTTTATCAGCCTAGCTCACCTCACAGGGTGTTGGTTGTGAGAAAAATGGGAGAAAGAAGCAGTATTAGGTATGTTGGCTGCCCCGAGTTATTTATAAAAGTAATAAAAGTAGGATAAATGCATAAATAAAATATATAAATGTTCCACTGGAATTTCTCATTCATGAAGAAATTATTTTCTTGTGAACCTTCAGTGCAATGCTTTGGCAGAATATTTTTGTGGGTGAGCATGTGGAGTGTGTACCTGTGTATGAGAGAGATAGAGAAACCCATGGAAGATAGAAATGAAGAAGAAGCAGAATAAGCAAGGAGGTTGGTGATGAAAGAGGAGAATATGAAACAAGAAGAAAAGCTTACTAGAAGAAACCCTAGAGAGCTAAACACCAATGTTTAACAATGGTATTGGAATAAAATTTCAGTTGCATAAAAAAGCAAAAAGCTTTTTATGAAACTAAAACATTGAAAGAATGAAGAAGGTATTGTAACAAGGCAGATCATGTCATTGGTAAAAAATGTTAAAAAATGTTTAAAAATGTGTAACCATTGCTCAACTTTCGCTGCAAAATGTATATATGTATATATATATGTCTATATGCTCGTTTGTTTTTCTAATGTTTTAAATGTATGATTCTTAAATAAACTTTTTTTTAAAATTTGAGGGGGGAAAAGCAAGAAGCTGTGAATTTATGGATATGGTGGAAGCAAAACTGATTTTTTTTTTTTTAATTTAGAGGGAGCTTGTGCTTCTGAATGGCAAGAAACCATTCTTCTGGTTTTCAAGAATTGTGGTTTGGAATGCATTTGAGGGCCCCAAAAATAAAACAAAAAAGTTCAGGGGGCACTTGGAGTCAAGGCTTTTTTTGCCAACAATAGACTTTGAAAGTCTATTGTTTCAGTAAACTTTGCAATGAATTCCTTGCATAAGAATGCACAGATATAGACTGCATAGGAAACTAATTATGATTAAATACAGACATCAAAATATTTAAAAATAACAAATATGTAACTTTATTAATCCATTAAATCAATGACAAGACAATCTTCTTAAAGTATAATAATGAAAATTACTGCAGTTAACAAAAATTTCCGGAGCTCGGCATCATAAATTACATTGTTATCTACATAAATTAATGAATTAAAAGGTAAATTTAAATTAAAGGATTGTGAAAATAAGATCGCAGTGTTTTTCCCCATCCACTTTAACTGACCCTCCCTGAAATCTACCCTTTTAAATGGTCATTTCTTTTTGAATCTGAATAAATCAAGGGCAGCTCTACATGTGATAGTATGATGGTATGCAGTACAATATGATGGAGGAAGAGTTCCCTTCTCCTTTATTCATGTTTATATCTCATAAAGAATAATATTTTTGAATCCTTCCCATTTACATTAATAATAATGTTTAATTCTGGTGTCACGTTCTGTGTTTGTTTCAAAACTCACAATCAGTAGGCATTCAAAATGAAACAATGTATCCTGATAGGAAAGCTATTTCTAACATAATAAAAAAATATTGATGTAATTTTTTTTCCTCCTCTTGCTTCTTATTTGAACAACTCATCACATGGTAACTTTTAGGGCATTTTTAGTCATAGTACCACATACACTAAATTGCAAGATTTTAACATTTTAACTTACAAATGGCAGGAAGGTAAAGTTCTATAATATAGATTAAGGTGAAGGAGCAACATCAGCAAACCTACTCTCAGAAAAATAACACTTTGGATAATTCTGTTGGTACATGTATAGCTGAGCCTATTATTAGGCAAAGGGAGGATTTAGATGTTAAGAATGGACAAAATATCTCAGTTTTCTTTATTATATTTTTATTGTATTATTACACTTTAGTGATGTCATTCCTGATATTATCTGCCAGGTACACTAAAGCAACTGGCTTCAGGAACAAATTGTAGGCAAGCGGCACCATTTATTGTCGCAGTTTGGGTGGTTTATAACACATTAAGTAAAATGGAATGTGAAATGGAGAGTGGCTGAAAATTCTGTGGTTCATATGTTAACCAAGCAATACAATTACATTGCCAAAACAATTTATTTCCAGAAACACACAAGCATACACACATATTACACTGCTCAAAAAAATAAAGGGAACACAAAAATAAGACATCCTAGATCTGAATGAATGAAATATTCTTATTAAATACTTTGTTCATTAGATAGTTGAATGTGCTGACAACAAAAGCACAAAAAAATTATCAATGGAAATCAAATTTAGCAACCCATGGAGGTCTGGATTTGGAGTTACACTCAAAATTAAAGTGGACAAAAACACTACAGGCTAATCCAACTTTGATGTAATGTCCTTAAAACAAGTCAAAATGAGGCTCAGTAGTGTGTGTGGCCTCCACGTGCCTGTATGACCTCCTTACAATGCCTGGGCATGCTCCTGATGAGGTGGTGGATGGTCTCCTGAGGGATCGCCTCCCACACTAAGGCATCCCCCAACTCCTGGACAGTCTGTGGTGCAACATGGTAGATGAAGCGAGACATGATGTCCCAGATGTGCTCAATTGGATTCAGGTCTGGGGAACAGGTGGGCCAGTCCATAGCATCAATGCCTTCGTCTTGCAGGAACTGCTGACACACTCCAGCCACATGAGGTCTAACATTGTCTTGCATTAGGAGGAACCCAGGGCCAACCACACCAGCATATGGACTCACAAGGGGTCTGAGGATCTCATCTCGGTACCTATGGCAGTCAGGCTACCTCTGGTGAGCACATGGTGGGCTGTGCGGCCCCCTAAAGAAATGCCACCCCACACCATTACTGACCCACTGCCAAACCAGTCATGCTGGAGGATGTTGCAGGCAGCAGAACATTCTCCATGGCTTTTCCAGACCCTGTCACATCTGTTACATGTGCTCAGTGTGAACCTGCTTTCATCTGTGAAGAGCACAGGGCGCCAGTGGTGAATTTGCCTATCTTGGTGTTCTCTGGCAAATGCCAAACATCCTGCACGGTGTTGGGCTGTAAACACAACCCCCACCTGTGGACGTCGGGCCCTCATACCACCCTCATGGAGTCTGTTTCTGACCATTTGAGCAGCCACATGCACATTTGTGGCCTGCTGGAGGTCATTTTGCAGGGCTCTGGCAGTGCTCCTCCTGTCCCTCCTTGCACAAAGGTGGAGGTAGCGGTCCTGATGCTGAGTTTTTGCCCTCCTACGGCCTCCTCCATGTCTCCTGATGTACTGGCCTGTCTCCTGATAGTGCCTCTGTGCTCTGGACACTATGCTGACAGACACAGCAAACCTTCTTGCCACAGCTCTCATTGATGTGCCATCCTGGATGAGCTGCACTATCTGAGCCACTTGTGTGGTTTGTAGACTCTGTCTCATGCTACCACTAGAGTGACAGCACTGCCAGCATTCAAAAGTGACCAAACCATCAGCCAGAAACCATAGGAACTGAGAAGTGGTGTGTGGTTACCACCTGGAGAACCACTCCTTTATTGGGGATGTCTTGTTAACTGCCTATGCTTTCCACCTGTTGTCTATTCCATTTGAACAACAACATGTGAAATTGATTGTCAATCAGTGTTGCTACCTAAGTGGACAGTTTGATTTCACAGAAGTGTGACTGACTTGGAGTTACATTGTGTTGTTTAAGTGTTCCCTTTATTTTTTTGAGCAGTGTATATATATACTTAAATATTTTGTCATTCTTTCAAATAGAAATCCTTTTGAGTCCCACTGATATCAACAAAAGAAAATTGGGTATTTCATTTTCCACTTGGAGTCAGTGACACTAAAATGCTTTGGATGGTTTGTACTTCATTTTTAATTACTATATACTGATACACTAATTAAGTTTCAAATTTACCAAAGGATGTGGCAAGAGTTACCTGTTTTTACTTATTTTCACATACAGATTTAAATAACAAATTTAAGAGGATAAATAAAATCCCCCAAAATCTTACACGACCTTTCATTTAATATTCTGGGTCTCCTATCTCTCTTGTTGTATTCATGCTTTGAGCAATACACATAAAGCTACAAATCTATGCACAAAACTCTCACAGACAAAACTGTAGCCAAGTTTCTATAGCAGACAAAAGCTCTGCTCATATGGTACTCAGACTTACATGTCATTGCAGTGGACCCTGGGCCAACTTTCTCAGCTCAGCTATCTGGTGGCTTCATGCTTAAAGACTGCCTCTGACAGGTATGCTTTGCATTTGCAATGAAAACAGAATTCATACCTCAGATGGTTTGTTGAATTCAACTTCTCCAGGGCCTGCCTCCGATTGTTCTTCCAAGCTGCTCTCTTAATCCTGGAAAAGTCTCTATCAACCCATCCCCATCCTTTCCATCTTATATTTTCTCCAAACAAATATTGGTGTTTGACATCACCTTTTCTAATACCATATATCATACACTCATTAATGTTTTAGCTATTACCAATTAATTCTCACCTACATTTCTGCCAATCTCTGTCCTATCTTTGATCCATTCATAATTTTTGTACTGGTAAACTTGGCTAACAGACTATGTCACCTATATGCTTTTACACTGTCAAGATAATGTTAAATCATAGTGTCATAGCCCTGTTATTTCTATTCAAGACACAATAAACATTCTTAAAAAAAATAGTCTGTTTTTTTTCCCCTGATCCTTACCAACTAAGCTTTTCTTGTAAAATAAAAAGGCATACCTACCTCCCACCAGCACAATTTATCAACACTAAATACATAAACAGTACTTGCATCACTCAGACATACTTTGCAGTATATAGATGGTTTTTAAAAGAATGGGAAGGGACATAGAAGGAAGGAAAGAAGAAAGACATGTAATACCTTTACTTTTACCTATGGATTTGATGAAATGGTTCCATGAAGAAAGTATTGCCAGACGGAAGAGAAAACAAAAGAGAAACAACAGTAAGAGTTGTGTGTGTAAATGTAAATGCCATCACAGACCAAAGCATGAAAAGAGACAAAGCTTGAGGCAAATGATTGAAGACAAATGGAGATGCAGTTGGTGTCACATTTTAAGAATTACTGCTTTCCAACTTTCATGTACATGCACAAAAATACAGAAGTAACCCATGCTTCATTTTTTAAAGGCATGACACAAAAGTAACATGAACACTGAGTTGGGTGGGCAAGAATTTGCACAAGATGATGAGTACACATCACTAATTCCATTATGCTACAGAAATGTCTTCTTAACATTCCAGAAGCCAAAAACAAATGGTTTCTGCATTTTCCAAACAACCATGCATTAATGCAAAGCAGATTACTTTTTTGGGGTGGGGTGGGAGTGGTATAAGTCAAGTATTTTCTTTCATATCTATCTGAAGAGTGCATTTCAGGTTTTATGATCAACATTATATTTAATCTCATAGTAATTTCTCAATATGATTTTTAGAAATAGCACCCTTTTTAATAATTATTTTATTGTTAGTGGGATGAGGAAAACAATAAAAAAAATAGAACAAAAGGGTTCAGGAGCAAATAGTAAAGAACAACAGCAACATAAGCTAGATCTATTTATAGACACACAGTGCAAAAGAAAGGAAAAAAAAACCCAAAAGATGTAATTAGGACTGTGTGATTATTTACAGCCTGAGACAGCTCACAAGCATTTGGCCATCATTTGTTATGATGTACTTTGAAGCAGCTACACAAAAAAGAAACAAATAATTTTTATAAAATAAAATAAAATGATCGAAGCAGAGTGGAAAAGGAGCAGAACCCATACCTTGGTCGCCCATCATCAAGTGCGCCAGACCTTAAAGGGAAACAAGAGCACAGTCAGCAATGAACAAGGGTTCAAGGGAAGGTGGTAGTGTCACAGTGACTTTTTAAATTTCTTTGATAACAGGTGTCTGTCTCTTGTGAGGTATTTGCACAATACTGCAAAGTAGCATGTTTCAACCACCAGTTGGAATTCTTTTGGAGGTGGGAATTGGACAATTGCATTACTATTTGAACACAATAATTCTGAATTACCTTTTATCTTCTTTAGGTATTAAAATGGGTTTTAATGACAAAAAATAGTAAGAAAATGATTTCAGCTTCAACCAATTCCTAGAATATTTGTTCATAAATCTCATAAATACTTGGATCACATTTTTTTGGCTAGATGGATGCTTCATCCTGCAGTTATAAAATAGTTTCTTTTTATTTATTTATTTTTCTTTTCCAAACCTGGAGTAGTGTCAACCTGAAGAATGGGCTGGGTCTGATCTTTTTCCTCTCATTGAAAATGAGCGTTTCAAATAATTAAATAAAATAATTACTTTATCACATTGAAATGAAAATGCAAGGGACATCTCCTTGTTTGTGTGCAACATTCAACCTAAAATAAATACATTTCTGAATATCATCATCATTGTCATCGTCAACATCATCATCCAGTGAATGGAAAAACAATATAGTATAAAGTGGAAGGGAAAGGCCTTATTATCCATTGCTTTGATCAGCTGAAAATGAATTACACTTTTGGTTTACCAAAATTAAGGTCTGTTGTTTTTCAAAATTATAAAGAACTGTACGTTATACAATTCCTTACCATCCAAATTATCTAAAACATTTTAAAGCTATATTTTCCTAAAGAAACAAATGGAGGAATAGGGACTGTATTTTCCATCCTCTTAAAAGAAATATACACCATGTTCAATTTTACAAACATTAATACAAATTAACTTTAAACAAATAAACACCTCAATATAAGTCATTTAAAAATAAAAGCCATAAAATAATATTCTATTCCTTTGGGAAGAGTCATAAAATATAATCTCATGCATTTCATTCTTACACATTTCTTCACACAAATAAGGTTTGAAAAAGAATATGCTGGTTTTCACTGGAAGGTAAGATTCCTAAACTTTATTAAGGCTTCTACTTCACATAGAAAATTGAGCATATATACAGTAAAAAGGTAATATGATTTCCTAAATTAAGAATGCTTTAAGAAGCAAAGTTCATACTGTAAATTTTGTATTATCAGTCAAGGAAAGAAATAAAATTTTAAACAATATAGCAAATTTGCATCACAAACTGGGTTCTGTTACAAATATCAGTCTTGCACCTCCATAATCACCTCAATAATTACAGTAACTGTTTTTATTGTAAAGGAATCTATTCCAAGTAAATCCTACTATAAGCAGCAGAAGTTATTCTCAAATGAGTTCTAAAAGCAGTCAAATAAATAAAAAAGTTAAATCCAAAATGTATCTACAGAATCTTCCATGGATTATATTCCACAGAACTCAATGGGATTTATTGCATAAATGCACCCCTTCTCCATTTTCTTTCCTATGCAGATTCATATTTTTTTTCTACCAGTAGAAATTGTAATATATACAATTATCAAAATCGTATAAGAAATATACAACTATTCCTTTTTAAGGAATGTTGTAGAGAAAATAATCACATGGCAAATTGAAAGAGCTTGTATGACATGATTATCTCTATCACTTTCAGGCTGGGAATGAGGACTGAGACAGTGTTGATGTGTTCCTAAATGATTTCTGGCAGGAGCTTGATAGAGACAGTGCATCCATCTTTGCTCTTCCTGACCTCTGAGCAGCCTTCAATCATAGTATCCTTCTGGACTGGCTTCAGGAATTAGGAATGGATGGCACAGTGTTGTGCTGATTCTCCTCCCTCTGAGGTTTGTTTCATTTGATGATGATAAGAATGAAGAGGTACAGCATATGCCTTCTGCTTTCTGTGGTGCCACAGAGTTTGATTGTCTCTTCCCTCTTATCTCACATCCACATGTGGCCATTGGGTGAGGTGATCTGAGGTTTGGGGTAGGTATCATCAATATGCTGATAATACCCAACATATCTTCCCCCTGGGCTCTCTGAGTGATGCCACAGAGTTCTGTCCCAGGGCCTAGAGGCTCTAGGAGACTGGATGGGCACAAAGGGCTTTGGCTTAAACCAAGCAAGATGGAGTGGCTGTAGGTTCTTGGGCTTTCCATCTCTGGTGGCCCTGTCTCAAATGGGCATGATACACAATCTGGTCATCTTCTTGGGCTCACGATTCCTGCTGGAACAGCAGATGGTTGCTGTGGCTAAGAGGGTTGTTGGTCTGGGTACCTGTTGCTTTGATTCCTGGATCAGAGGGCTCATGTCCTCCAATTTGGATTACTGCAATGTGCTCTATATGTTACTGCTCTTCATTAGCATTTGAGCATTTGAAAGTTTCAGCCAGTACAGAAGGAAGTTGCATTGGTTACAAATGGTGACAGCTATTCAGCACATGTATCATCTTTTCTTCAGGGGCTACACTGGTTTTCAGATGGAATTCTAGATATTGATACCCAAGTCCTTCATGGCTTAGGACTGAGTTACCTGAAGGACCATCTTTTTCCAGTTTTTTTTTTTTTTTCATGAATCCAGTCCAGCAGGACCAAGGAATGTCAGCTGACAGGACCCAGTTTTTCTACATAGTGCCTGCCCTCTTAAACATGCTCCCTCCTGAGATTAGGATGGCCCCAGTTTGCAAGACCCTGAAGACCTGGTGGTGTCCTTCAAATATGTGAAGGACTCTGTGATGGATTATTTAATTGGTTTTATGATTATTCACCACCCAGAATTACTCAATTGAGACGGGTGGTTATACAAAATAAATAAATAATAAATGAATAAATATACTAGGTTTCCTGTCATAAATGGAATTATGAATAACAGAATTTATTCTCACATTTTACTCTGACAATATTACTCTTATTCCACTAGATAGCACAACAATTCATATGGTTTTTAAGAATATTAGTTTCTTGTATCTGAATTTTATATTGCCTGTGTTATCTGTTAACTACATAAACCTGCACATTGGTCTGTGACCATAATAATATTAAAGTGATTTTTTTTTAATGTGCAATATTTAACTATTTTTTTTTTGTTTTAAAGTGTAGTGATCTAAAATAAAACAGCTAAGTATGTATGAAGCATTAACATATGAATACTTCTTACTGTGTGCAATGAAATTCTTGGTAGGGATTGTTGCATATAGCATGAGGACAACTAACCTGCCAACTTTGCTACATTGTCTTTATTTTATTCAGTAAAATATGAAATTTTTTGATTGATCAAAGCCATAATCAGTGATCGGTGGAGTAAAATATTCAGAAGTCCTACATTGATGATTATGCAAGTTGTAACGATGCATGCATGTTGCATGTTATGATTCAATGAAGGATGAAATAACTTGCAGTGATATGTTGAAAAATTCTGAATGAATGCAATAAGGATACATGACATGAAGCAATGGGCTAGAAACAAGAAGAATGAAATTAAAGAGCCATTTAGATGCCCAGGAACGAATTAGAATGTTGATTACAGAGCCATGGTGGTGCAGTGATTAAAGTGCAGTACTACAGGCGACTTCTGCTAAGTGCCAGATGCCTGCAATTTGGCAGTTCGAATCTTACCAGACTCAGCCTTCCATCCTTCCAAAGTGAGTAAAATAAGGACCCAGATTGTTGGGGGCTATATGCTGATTCTGTAAACCACTTAGAGAGGGCTGTAAAATACTCTCTAGCACAGGAAGTCCTCAACTTATGACCACAATTGAGCCCCAAATTTCTGTTGCTATATGAAACATTTCTCAAGTGAATTTGTCCCATTTTATGATGTATCTTACCGCAGTTGTTAAGTGAATCAGTGAAGTTGTTAAGTTAGTAACATGGTTATTAAGTAAATCTGGTTTCTTCATTGACTCGGCGTATCAGAAGGTCACAAAGGGGGATCACATGATCCTGGGACACTAACAATCATAACTATGTAACAGTTACCAAGCATCTGCATTTTGATCATGTGACCATGTAGCTGCTGCAACAGTTGTAAGTGTAAAAAACAGTCATAAGTCACTTTTTTCAGAGCTGTTATCACTTCTAACAGTCACTGAATGAACTGTTGTAAGCCGAAGACTCCTGTATTTGGTGAACAAAAAGAATGTGTTTCTAATACCAATTTTAAATATGTGCTTTTTATGCATACTTATACTGTAAAAGCATGATTAATTTGGTTGTTTATGATAAAAGACAGAATCGGTGAGGGTAAGAAAGGGATGAGAAGATCTGATTGTGGAACAGATTATTACTTGACAGTATGAAAACTAATCCTGAAAAGAAAATGATAATGGAAGAAAGAAAGAGAAACATGGAAAAAACTGAAGTGAATGGTACAAACCCTTTATGAAAAATATTAACCTGTCTTCAAATTTAAACATAATGAATGGAAAGAGAATGAAAGGAAAGGTGATACAGACACTGCTTGCAAATAAATAAAGAGAATTGTGTTATAGAGTCAGACTTCACATCTGGCTCAGATCTCCAGACACTTGATCATTAATTCACCTCTTGACTGGACTAGATGGAAGACTCCCAGATATAATTTGCCTAGATTACAAACTATATCGGTGACAAGAATGAAGCCTTAAACAACAATTGACTGCCAACTGTAAAGCAAAGAAATTACAAAGATCTCCAGGTTTTGTAAGCTCTAAGGTTCTTCCTCTAAGTTTTCTAAATTAACTAAGTATTGGGCTTGGGCAGCAGAGGTTTGTTTAAAATAGTGAGCTTCTCTAGGCTGGGGCTTCTACTTCACACCAAGTACCACAACAATATGTGGTGTTATTCTAATGAGAAGTAGGAAAAAGATGCCTGATAAAATGAAGCAAGACAATTTTTTAAAAAAGTGCATGTAAGAGAATGCTATCAAAAATGAGGATGAAAGAAAGGTATTTCTAATGAGTATATTGAAGAAAATTTAT